GTTTTATCCCAATCCGGTCCAATCCGGACCATGCTCACCCCTAAGATTTAAGTAAAAATAATCATTATTAAAATTTGATGAAAAATACTCTTCAGTGGGTTAAAAAATAATCATTATTAAACTAATTTATATTTTTAACTTTTTTTTGTAAAAAAAAAGAAAAAATTGAAAATGAGAAGTAGTTTTAATCCATCTCAAAATAGGGCACAGGCAATTGGGGTGTTTGGTGTTAGTGCAAGTGTGTCATGTGGGAAAATTTTGAGCTCATAAGAGAAGCAGGATCCCGTTATTGTATTTCTTACTTTCAAGTCCATAGGGCTCATTTTTAGGCCTAATTTTGATAATTCGAACCGTTTATATTTAAGATTTGTTCATTATATCATACTTCTAAAAAATCAAGTAAATCGGATATCAGAAAGCATGTGTTCGGAAAATTATTTATTAAATATTTTTAAAAAATAATTTTTAATTCGAGTTTTTCAAACACATATTTTCTGATATTTAATTAATTTAATTTTTTACAGATATAATATACTGATCAAATCTTAAAATATTAACCATTCAAATTATTAAAATTAAACTTAAAAATAGACCCAATGAACTCCCAAGTAAAAAAATTCAATGAGGAAATCCTAATTCCATCAATCTTTATGACATGTGGAAAGATACTCTTCAATAGCACATTAATAGGGAAAAGTATCGATACGCCGCCACCGTACTGTAAGGGGTTGTTTGAGATGATTTAAATAAGTGTACTTTTTGATCTTTTATGAAATATGGGTTGAGTTTGGGTTGGGTTTGAAGTGATGTATTAGAGAGGTGATGTGACTTAAATAAGATGATGTGATTTAAATAAGATAATGACTTTTTAACTTTTTGTCTTTTTCAAGACATGCCAAACTTGACCTAAGTCTGTAACTCCCTCAAAAAAGTAATAATATATAAATCGATAATGAAATCAAATGTAATTTTTTCTTTCTTTTATGCGGTGATTTTACTCTTATAAATATTAGAAGGATGTGTTCATCAGTTACAAGATACAGACTGCACTGTAACAAGCTTTAAAGTGTAGTATACCTGTAACTTGCAAGATCAGGTTCACCAAGGAATTCCCGAAGTAACATACCATCAGTCATATATTTCAGAACTGTCTTATCTGAAGTGCAATCTTCAAAACGAATTGAGTAACCAACCTGAAAGTGAAGGTGATAATTATTACAGTCACCTATCTAAAAGTGGAAAACTGATAGCCACAGAAACCAGATTGACAGAGCAAAATTATGATACAATTGGGCAATATATTGAATAATTGTTTAAATTTTTCAGCCCTAGGCTGATTGATCTGATCCTTCATCTACAACATCTTATAACAGAAATTTCTAAGATGCCAGATCATCATTGCTGCACAATGCCAAATTTGGCAGCAGCCCAGGTCGGAATACAAATACAGATTTCCACTGCTTGAAGAATCCAATGCTATCTCATTTTGACAATCTAAACTACTCATTTTGCACCACTCAAATAGTGTTAGTGTATATTAGTGCTTGTAATGATGTTAGTAGGTTAGTACTTGTCTTTATTATTCATTACTTTAAGTTAGTGTTCGGCTACTTTCGGCTACTTTCCTATTCAGGTTTGTAATCCTCTCCTATATAAGGAGCTTCTAACATTGTTAAAGATACAACACAATCAATCATAATAATACATACAATTTATTCTCTTTGTAATTCTCTCTCTCAATTTATCTTACATGGTATCAGAGCTATAGGTTAAAGATCTTGGTGTTCTTCGCCTTCCGGCGGGCGGCAATCTTGCCTTGACCGCCCGCCGGATCTCAACCAATTCAAACCTCACTCTCCCTCTCGGCACCTCACTGTTGCCATCACTCAATACACACTTCCGATTTTTCTCTCTCTCCCTGATCACACACAGATACATGCATACACTAGCTCTCTCTCTTCTCTTCCTCTCGGATTCATCATATGCTCCCTCTTGCTTAGCTGCCTCGTATCGATTACATGCATAGAAACCGCCTGTCCACTCACTATGATCAGACCACGCACCAAGGCATAGCCAGCAGAATTCAAATTTGCAAGGGGGTGTGCACGTCATGTGCATACAGCCTTGGTTTTTTTTTCAATTGGTCGCTTGCACTTCGGACAAGGCTTGGAATTAGCTAGTATCCAATTCATGTTTTCAGATTCTGCGCTGTTCTTCAAAATCCACTTTGACACAGTGCCATAGTCCACAGGACGATGAGCTTCTTCAGTATAATTCCAACAAAAGCCACGTCACTTTCACAGTCTTCGGCTTCGCAGGAGCCGGCTTCTTCTTCGCTGGAGCACTAGCAACAGGCTTCGGCACAGAAGGCCGAGTTGCAGGAAGCTTGAACGAGCCTTTCACCTTCACAAGTTTACCAGATACAACTAGCTTCTTCAAATGGAACAACAACAATTTCTTGAAGTTCGCCGGAAGATTCTTATGCTTTTCCTCTGCAAACTTCGTGATCGCGTACTGACTCGATCCATTTTTCTCCTTCCATGTCACAATTGCCTCCGTAACCATCTCAACATATGGGGGATGAGAAGGAGGGCTCCTAGGCTTCCTCGTTTTGGGCTCCTTCGCCTTCTTCGACTTTGCAGTCGGTTGCTCCACCTCCGCCGCCTCATCCGCCGCCACCACCAGCGGCAGATCAGGAACAGACTCCACCGCCACAACCACTGCTTCTTCGGTCGCCATTTGATGCTCAACCGACTAGGGTTAGCATTTAGAATTTAACAAAATAGATCTATACGAATAACATCCACTGGGAAGGCTCCCACTAGTTTGAACTATGCACATGGGCACACACTCAACACACTGCCCCATACACACACATGCACGACATCCCTCTCTCTCATCTTTTCCCACTTTCAAACCCACTTTAATCATATCTCTCCTTTCTCTTAATTTATTCCACCCACGTTCTTTCAAACTTTTCTTTTATTTTAATATATATATATATATATATATATTTTATTATAATATATTTTCCCTATTCCTTGTTAGTGCGGATCACCCGTTTTCCATTCTCTTATTATTATTTTTTTTATATTCCACAAAAAAAATCAAAAAAATCACACCGCTGTTTTTTTCTTATCACCCATCCACAAATATTTTTTCTCTATTTTCTTTATCCATTGTTTTCTTTTATTTTATTTTTCTTCTTAAACAAAACAACACCACAAAATAACACCAACCACATTCCACAACCTTGTCATTTTATTCATATCAGGGGATCAACCCCGATCACACTTTTACATCAAAAAAAAAACAAAAAACAAAAAACAAAAAACAAAAACAAAAAACAAAAACAAAAAATAAAATAAAATCAAAAAATAAAAAAATAAAAAAAAAATAATCCACACACAACAACCTCATCCACAGGCGGGATTTTTCTTCTCTACTCTGCCGCCGGTCTTTTCTTCTTGCCTCCGTCCTGGGCGGTCCTTACCGGTGTTGCCTCCGTGTTTCCCACACCGCCGAGCACGTTCACTCCCTGCTCCTCCACTACAGCATATGGTGGACCTCCAAATCGGAACATCACGGTGGCCTTCCGCTTCAGCTCCTTGTTTTCTGCCTTTAGCACACTTATCTCTGCTCGCGCATCCTTATACATGCCCTAGAGCAGAGCCAGTTGGGCGTTTACCTGCTGCACCTCATTTGTCCTACTCTACAGCCGGTGCGACAAGTTTGTGACCGCAGTCATGGTTTCCACGCATGCCTTCAAAGTATACTAATTGGCCTCAATCTCAGTTTGCACCGTCATTTTTTTGCTCCACAGACCTCATCGGAAAGTTCAACGGAGCAAAACCAGAGGTGTTTGGTTGAGGTTCACTGGCCACCGCACTGGTTATCTCTCTTGTTGACTCGTTGAGGTCGGGAAAGAGAGTGAGTAGACCACGGAACGAAGAGACCATATTCTGGGTAGCTGAACGGGAAGAAGAAGAGGCCATTGTTCAGATGTTTCAGAATGCAAATATTCAGATATTTCAGAATGAAAATGTTCAGCAGTTTCAGACTGGTTTGCACAGCCTCCGCCTCAACCTTGGTTTAAATAGCCAGGGCCGATCCGCGCATCGCGCGCCACTTGACGCCAGACGACAAAACGAGCGCGCAGGCCAAGGTAATCACGCGCCTCGCCATCATGTCCGGCACACCTTTTTATGGATTGGGCACGCCTTTTGATGGAACGCCTTTTGAAAGATTGGGTACACCTTTTGAGGGTGCGACTTTTTACAACGGTCTGACACGACCCCACAGTGTCTGCTACATCGGTCCGACATGACCCCGTAAACTGTCTTGATCCCCTTTATCACTCACTTTATTTCAACCTCAAATAGGTTTCTATCTTCACACCTATTTGAGTTTGAGGGGGGGTTATACATATATCATGGTGAGCATGGTTACACACCATGGGAACCACTCAAGCCACCCCATGGCGCACTCCCTAAGTCGCCTCCTTGGTGCACCACCACAAGCTTCTACATCGGTCCGACATGACCCCATAAACTGTCCCGACATTGATTCCGGTCAGCTTCTACAACGGTCCGGCATGACCCCATAAACTGTCCCGACATTGATTCCGGTCAGCTTTTACATCGGTCTAGCATGACCCTGTCAACTGTCACAACATTGGCTTCTACATCGGTCCGGCATGACCTCGTAAACTGTCCAGACATTATCTGCTACAACGGTCCCACACGACCATACAGTGTCTTCACCAACGGTCCGACACGACCATACAGTGTCTTCACCAACAGTTCGACACGACCATACAGTGTCTCCTATCCTATTTTATTTTCCTATTTTATTTTGTTACTCTCTTCAAATTCAAGTTGGTTAATTTTATCCTCCTTGAGTTTGAGGGGGCTGTTAGTGTATATTAGTGCTTGTAATGATGTTAGTAGGTTAGTACTTGTCTTTATTATTCATTACTTTAAGTTAGTGTTCGGCTACTTTCGGCTACTTTCCTATTCACGTTTGTAATCATCTCCTATATAAGGAGCTTCTAACATTGTTAAAGATACAACACAATCAATCAATAATACATACAATGTATTCTCTCTCTATCAATTAATCTTACAGAATGTTTTTCAGTCCAATGTGCGAAATCTAAGAAAATTAAGCTAGAAAAACACCCCAATAATCCAAATTCAGTTTGTTTCTCGTAATTTTTTTTAAGTTCAAAATTTATTATCAAAAAATAAATAGAAATTAAAACTATTCTTCTCTAACTTTCCAGTCATAATCAAGTTTTTGATTTATTTAAATTATTTTTCACTCATAAATCTAACACAAATTCCACAAATATAACCATATATATATATATATATATATTTATAAACAGAAATCCTATAAACCAATAATAAGATCGTGCGGTGAAGATTGAATTGGTATTGTGTGGGAACTATTCATAAAATAAACGTGGACCATAGATTGACAAGTCTGGTAAAAATTTTGAGTTTGTATTTTTACTGATCAAAAAAATCTGGATATTTTTTGGCAGCCCTATAGGTCACGGACTAACTTTTTCCGATCAATGGACTATAAGTTTGTTGGAGATACATCAATGTGGAAGGACACTTCAGATGTGAATATGAATATGATTGAGTTTGTGACTTCACCAAACAACCCTGATGGTCAGTTGAAGAAGGCAGTGCTGAGAGGGTCCTCAGTGAAAACAATTCATGATTATGCTTATTATTGGCCCCATTTTACAGCAATTCCAGCACCAGCTGATGAAGATCTCATGTTGTTTACTCTTTCTAAGCTTACTGGCCATGCTGGCTCCAGATTTGGGTAAGTCCAATTATCACTACTCTAGGACTTATATATGCACTTGAGTATTTAAACCAATGTTAATATTAACTTGGCTTCATAGTAGTGTATTGCTATTATTTCTACTTGGGTTGTGTTTGGATTTGTGGTCCTTTTTTTCCTTCCCTTTTTTTCTCTATAAATTCAAGATCAAAACACAGTTTTAAAATTTTGAATAAGTGTTGATATCCCACATTAAATGTAGACAATTTTAGGAATTATCTATTGTGATTCAACTCGATAAGCGGTTTCATAAGTTTGTCATTTTGAACTCTAAGTTAAAACACGTGTCATCTTATAAGTCCATTCTGGACATTGCCCGTACATGTGGAAAAATTCTAACTTTTTTGCTTCTTATTTTTTGTCCATAATGGATTTTTTTTTTTAATTTAAATTTTTTTTGTAACACTGAAAAAGAAAAACAAGAACAAAAACAAAACAAAAACAGAAGTTAACCAAAAATTGCTAAAATACATTTGTCACACCAGCCCTGAGTTTCAGTCATGATGAAAGAAAAAAAAAAAAAAACCTTTAGAAAAATGTCCAGAAAATGAGGTATTTGATGTAGATTCAAATTTGGTATGGATTATATTTAAAATAAATTAGGTCACACATTCTACTTTATGATCACTTTTCTATATATTTTTCTGGGTTCATAGCATTTTTAGTCGATGCAAACTAGACAGTTATATTGCATTGTTTTTTTATTGTACAGGTGGGCATTGATAAAGGATGAGGAAGTTTATGAGAGAATGTTAAAGTATACTGATCAAATTAGCTTTGGGGTTTCTCATGACACCCAGTTAATAGCATTGCAGCAACTCAAAGCAATTTTCCAAGGGAATAATGGTAGTGATATTTTTGAGTTTGGATTCACAACAATGAGGAAGCGCTGGGAAATTCTGAGCAAGGCATTATCAGAATCGAATCGCTTCTCTATCCAAAAAATTGAACCCCAATTTTGCACTTTTTATCAACAACTCAGAGGACCTTCTCCAGGTGATCATCATTCTTATTCACTCACTACTATATATTTTTAGGTAAGATTTTTGTGCGAGAACCTGACAGTATTGTTAAGCGGACCAGTTGAGAGGGTCTTGACTTTTGTAATTATTTTCCCGCTCTTTATGAATGTAAACACAATGTTGAACCACGTATATTTTGTGTTTTGTGTTTTTTTTTTTATTTTTAATTTTGTTGATTGTAAACAAAATCAATTTAGAAGTTGATTTTTTTTTTTTTTTGGGCAGCTTATGCATGGTTGAAATGTGAAAGGGATGAAGAAGAAGATTGCTATGAAGTGCTGAGAGAGAATGGTATAATCAGCCGGAGAGGAAGTGTATATGGTGCAGAAAGGCGGTATGTGCGTCTCAGCCTCATCAAGACCCAGGATGACTTTGATTTATTAATGCTCCGGTTCAACTCATTATTCTCTCAAGAAAATTATTATGGGATTGAAACTATTATGTGAAAATAATTAATATATAATCAACCTTCTGTTGATTGTAATCTCATCACTAGGTTACAATTCATGCATTTTGTATCTATTTCATTTATTGCCACTACAAGTTTTACTGTCAATTGTTTGTAATTGATAATATAAGAACTTTA